GTGGCTTATAACAACAAACACACATATAATATAGAGAATATTTATCAACAACACTTATTTATATAACCTATATGCAACTTATGTAAAATAGATAAGGCATGCTTAAGAGTCGTGTCAAATGACCGTTAAATGGCACATGTCTTCCATTCATTATCGGATTCTGAAAATATTAATAATGCATTTGTGGAACGGTAAATTGACTGTATCAGCATGTATGATAATAGCATCTCTCCAGAGAGTCAATGTCCCTGCAACAATGCCACAAAGTGTGACAGCAGAGAATAATGCTTGCAGGATACACATTGTGCTACAGTGTTACAGCACACAATGCATGCTGCACAATCGCATCCCATTACAGTATACCATATACTGGGAATAACACAGTTATCTACACTATCCAAAACAGTGTCACACGACCCACTGCTGCGTTTACACAAACGTGATACCCCTTCTCATTAAATATTAGGTTTCTGGTGAAGACAAGAGAAAGATGATAGCGAAGACATAACAAATCCGGGACTAACATATCCTCGACAAATTAAAAACACACACAAAGCAGGGCACCATGTGTTCGAAATACATGCGTTGCCATGGTAACTTGGAAGCATTGATTGCACATATCAGTCTGAACAAGACATCCTTGTAGTCTGAGAATCCTTGGTGTCGCCAATTAATTTACATCTTCCAGGTGATATGATACTGCATATTTTGAAAATGTCCATGAAAGCAAGACCTCATTTAAACCAGACTCCCCACTTAAAAAAGATTCATTGCTACGATAATGGTTCATTTGCATCAGCTGAAATCAGATGCTAATACTGGAGAGATTAGGGAAGAATGTTACAAGACCCAGCTTAGTTAAATGGAAATATGACGTCTGTGAACTTTACGAATGAAACGACTTACTCAAGAAATGCTGCAAAATTCATGGCAGATAATGTTAACCAGTTGTGACACAATTAAATATGTAGAATACGTAGAATCTATCAAAATCAATATAATCAGCATCTTGAGGGTACTACAAACAGGGAGAGTGTTGACATACTGGAAGGGTATCACAGCACTGTATTTAAACCCTGGTGACTGATGCACTGGTTTGACCTCACTCATGATACAGATGCTATATGAATGTTTTACATACAGCTACATAGGGCTGGCTAAAAAGATCGATAATCGGAATTAATATTAGCGATTATCAATATGCAAATTGTGTCATCGATAATAACTTACATAAACTATTGTGATGAAATAAAGTTTAGATTTACCAAAACAGACTTGTTATTGTCAATCATGTCATTTGCCGAAGATGGGAAGTAACTGTTTTTGTTGTATCTCAAATGTCCACAAAGTAATCCATGCATAAATGTGCCACCACTCACCAGTAGCATGAAGTGTGTTGATTTCGTTTGGACTTTTTTTGCATATACAATGTATGTTCAAAGTTATTTCTCTGAACCGATAATTTACCAATAATTATCGACATTTAGTCGCGATTATCGATCTCTGTGATCTATATCGATAGCCAGCTCTCCAGCTAGTTAGTATGCTTTACATTGCTAGTCACTTCCTTGTTAGTGTCAGGTTTATTTACACAGGAGGCATGCTGTAGGGTCCTGCTCAACACGTAAAGTTAGGACATTCTTATCTGACAAGGCAGATAAGCGTGTGCATGTGCACATCAGCCACACAGCTGTATGCATGTCTGCACGTCGCTGCTGCAATCCTTCTACTCATATCTTACATTTCATGACACATCATCCTTTTGTTCATCTGTCATTATGAATGGACTTTCATTATTAAACATTACTCTTGCATCCATCACTGTCATCATCATCATCATCATCGTCGTCATTCTAATGATTCAACATTACTCTTGCATCATCATCATTTTTATCATCATCATCATCATCATCATCATCATCATCATCATTGTCGTCATTCTAATGATTCAACATTACTCTTGCATCATCATCATTTTTATCATCATCATCATCATCATCATCGTCATTGTCGTCAATCTAATGATTCAACATTACTCTTGCATCATCATCATCATTTTTATCATCACCATCATCATTGTCATCATTCTAATGATTCAACATCACTTTTACATCCATAATCATCATCATCATTTTCATAAACATCACATTTGCATTCTTTGTGTTCTATTGTCATCCCCCCTCACTGAAAAACTCAACAAATTTTGTCTCCTATTTCACTACCCCTAAGGATGGAAGTGATACATGATACATAGATACACCTCAGCCTTCTTCCTTCCTCACATGAGGCAAACCCTTGCAGCTCAACTTGCAGCATTTGATAACAAGCCTTGCCCACTGAGGCCGATAAGGAAGATAATTAGGGTGAATGTCATTAAGATTCCACTGTCTAGTCCTACCCAAGTACACACTGAAGTCTCATCTAGAGCACTGTCCCAGAGGGTGTTTGGTTGTTGATGACGTCAACAATACTGACAAAAAACATTCTGAGTATGTATAATTAATTCATAGATTTGTTTCGTTTGTTTGCTGTTTTACGCTGCACTCAGCAATTTTCCAGCTATATGACGGCGATCTGTAAATAATCAAGTCTCGACCAGACAATCCAGTGATTGATTGACATCATGAGCATTAACGCAATTGGGATACGATTAATTCACAGGGAAAAAACAAATCATTCAAAATTTGTTTGGTGGCCTGGGATTATCAACGTTGAAAGACCTGTGACTATCAAATAAAAAAATGATTTTGCACAATAACTGCCCAGTCATAACGCAAAAGATGAACCTTCACACCTTCGAAACAAGGGGGACAACTCCTACATTTAGTTGTCTGAGTTACTGGCCTTTATACTGAGATATTGGATGTTGTGCAAACTGGAATGGAAATGTTTACTACATCTAACTGTGGACAAATGTCAACTACAAAAAAATAAGTTAGAGATTCTGTATCTTTGCTTTTCACGATGATGTAATGACCCCTAAAGCAAGGATTTATCTCAACCTAATCAGAGGCAGATGTTCAGCCCTAAGTGTGCAGCAAACAGAAATAAAACATTTCCTCGTTCATGTTTTTATAGTTATAGCTAATGCTGATGGACGAAGTATCTTGTATTTCACTGATGTTGTATTTCACTAAATCCTTGTAATGAAATAAGATTATTTAAAAAAACCCAGCTTGACATGACTTAACAAGGCCGTAGTTAACTTTTTTTTGACAGGGGGGGGGGGCAAATATTTGTACAAGTATCACTTGTCCCCAACTTGATTCAAATAAAACTGTTTTCTATAAAAAAATCCAGGGGGGGGGGGGCAACCGCAACCCCTGGCCCCCCGGCTGGCTTCAGCACTGCATAAACTGTTGACAAACAACCCAATTATCTTCTGTACGGTAAACTACATTTATAACGAACACGCTTATTACGAACTGACTGATATAATGAACTTAGTCCCGACCATTTGTTGTATATATATTAAAAAAAATATGCTCTATATATGCTTATAACAAACTACGGTTATTACGAACTAAAATTAGTGGTCCCTTTGTGTTCGTTATAACCATAGTTTACTGTTTTTCATTGATATGATCATAAACATGATATGATCTCTTCAAGTAAAAACATTAGATATTACTAAAAAAAATAACAATGATACAGGAAAAGAGCACTATCACCCTGGAGCCAAATCATTCTCCTACTCTGCTTATCATGTTCTTATAACAGACATCCCTAAAACAGGGTCAAATATGCACATCTAACTAACATAACTAGTGGCATGCCACTGTAGCTCTTACTGTCCAACAAACACGACCACTTTCTTCAGGTAACAACTGATGATCGTTGTCGTTCATTAAGTGATGGTGATACATGAAAACCACTGACTACAGCAGGACAAAATCAATAATGCAAGGTCAAATTGTAAAAATACAATGAAAAAAACAAAACAACTCCAGTGCATACTTTTCAAAATTCATTATCTGGAAAAATGAACTCCAATGCATTCTTTTCAAAATTCATTATCTGGAAAAAATGTTTCATGGCAAAAATGGACACTAAAATCAATATCTGGTACCCATTTTGAATTTAATGTAGCAACAAACAAAGCAAATTCTTTATCCCTCTGTTTCTAAATTATCCCACCAAGTTTCAGCTCCACAAAATGTTCAAAGAGCAAGAGTGCACTACATTTGAAAGCATGGTTAAAATGAACCGGTCAAACCAAGGCCAAAATAAATGGATATACTGACTCCCACTTAATGCCAAAATTTGTATGTCCATAGACAGGTTTTCAGATATGGCTGAAATGGTGGCCACTTTGAACATTGGATGATGCAAAGCTTCCCCAGATTGCTTGGAGAAGAAGAAAAGGGCTTGCATGGAGAAGAAGAAAAGGGATTGCTTGGAGGAGAAGAAAAGGGATTGCATGGAGAAGAAAAGGGATTGCTTGGAGAAGAAGAAAAGGAAGACAGACACCAGATGAGCAAGCCCTGACAAAAGCTCACTTGACCTTTGAAAATGTGGCTTGTCAGGTCCAGACAGTGACCTGAACCAAAATAACCTCTTGATGCCTCAGATCACTGCTTCCTAATATCCCCATGTGATGAACTCTGACTGAAGATATTGCACAAATGTAATGTATTCTAAAAATCGGTAAAGAAAAACAATATTTACACAATTCACTACAACATTTCCCATTGTTGTCAAAGGTACTCCAATGGTTCCTGAAAGAAATGCGTGCAAGGATTGACCAACAAATACATTAATGAAAAGCACACAATGTTTTCCATGCACACCGAATGTACTAGCTAAGTAAAGGATCTATAGAGTTTCTAAAAATCAAGTGAATGAAGGACCACCATCCATCATTGATTCTGAAAAGCTTTGTATTTCTGCACTAAACTGTAAACATGCTTTCAAAAGACACAAAGAGGTGAATGCACTTACCATACTGTCAGTATGACATACAGGTACTTATCATATTGCATTAATTATGTAAAGGATATCTCCATTCCACAACCCGGATGCACAGCTTTCTGATTGGGTTGTTCAAGCGGAGACAGAACAATGCCCGCTGCGGGCGCACGTTTTGGTTTTGTTGTTTCCTCATGTTGGCACGTTTGCGAGTCATGGTTGCGGCACCGGCTGCTGCAGCTAGAGCAGTATTCCAACCTGAACTAAGAAGAACCTTTCCGTCTTCACCTCCCTCGACACCTTCGATGTCACCCTCCGCGGGTGCACTGCCACTAGGTGTCGCTTCGGCAGGGGAATTTTGGCCGTTTCGTGGACACGGCGACTGGGTATCCGATTGATCCCCACACCGGGTTTCTGTGGTTCTTGCTGACCGAATTGGGCTTTTATCAGGGCCCCGGTCATTGTTTGACCCTGGAAACAGAAACATTGGGATTAGATCTGAAAAGATTTCAACATGACATTACAGTAAGCTGAATGCTTTAGCAACAGCACCATCATACCTGCCATCTCCAGGACTCTGTTGCCCCAACCAACCATTTCCTCGAATGTTCCACAATTACATAATCATATGAAAGAAGAGGTTTGGTTAAACGCTCTGAACAGTGATTCAGTTAAATCATGGCTTGGAGGAGGAAAGACTGCTGTGATGCAGATGGTAGATGATTACAGTTTGTTAAACCTGTGATCATGGGTATGCTGCTGATAGACCATGGTTCATAAATCAATGATTTTGCCACAAAAAGTGATTCCTGGCACAACCAAGGGAAGCAACTCTGCTTTGCTTAGGGGCCTCAGACCACAGAGCCACGTTTGCCCTCTAATACATCAGAAAACAGATGTATTCATAACATAGACTGTTTGATTCCTACATATTATGAACACTTCAAATGAAACCAAATCATTTTGGGAGATAATTAAATATCAATTCACTATGGTCACGCTGCTAGAAAATATATGTTAGCATTACATGATGCAATCAATAATTATTCTTAACACATTTACAATAAAGAAGAAGAATTTCATGACGATAGTGACATTAAGAAAACTATACATTACATACATGTCATAATGATACACCAAATAAATGAAATTATGACTATGTAAACTTTCCAAGTAAATAAATAGGGTGATGCAATGTGTTTCAGTACACCCTTCACTCTGACGTCTACTGGTAAACATAAACAAGCATGATGAAACAGGTGTGGCACCAGTAAACATCCATACACCTGTCTGTGGCTCGTGATATGGCGGCACCATGTTTACAGACAGACTGATCTGCCTTACCATCACATCCACCAGATAACCCTGCCTCGTCTTAAAATGTCCTTAGTTCCTGTACTTAGTCGCCACTAACTAGTCATTAGAAATTAGGCCAAAAAACTAGTTTCGGCACTCTCCAGGAAAACACCTGCATAGCAGGACGTGCTCTACATTTTAAGACAATAACATACAGCGCGTTACCATGGTAACTGAGTTAACCAAAGATCTTTTTTTGTTTGTTATTTCTTTCAAATGTCTAATCTGTTAATCATGTTAATTGTTTTTGTTTCTTGGCCTTGTCTATGTAAGAATGTGTAATTACTGCTATGTATGGTTTAAAAGCGTTCGAAGTTACCGTAAGTGTGACAAGGGATCTGAGTTCTGATCCTAACGGCAAAAGTTAAAAGTTTAAGGGGGTCATCGATGACACATATACAGGACCCCCGAACTATTTTAATTTCAAGAGATACAGATTATGACAGATTGTCTCGACATCAACAGCGAGACAAAGTATGAGTTACAAGCAATCTGAATACTACGGGTGTGTTGTGTGTACTGCCACTGCGAGCAGTATTTCAGAAATATCATCTGTGTCATCATCTGTGTGCACAAAAGCCTATGTCAAAGATATTTAACACTTGCTGACAGACAGTTGCTGCAAATAGCTGCAATATCTGATACAAATTTAAGCAATATTAACTCACCCACTCACTCACAGACCGTGGTAACATGGATTGTTATTAATAACATTAACCACTGGTTTCTCTGCTCCAGGTTTCATAACATACAGACAGGCATTAGAAACTGCATCATAGCCAACTGTAGCCAAAACAACATTCACTTGTTGTTTCCTTCCACACTCAATAAGCATGATGCCGTTATGATCCTTAAACTTGTCATATTTCAGCAACTCATAACACCACAGCCTAGCCTGGTAGATATTCAATAACACATTTGAGGCCATAATTGCTTTATATAAATGTACATAGTGTATATTACATAGAGCTGAAGACATCGAAATACAGGTATCAATGACATAGTATACAGGTATCTCATTAACATACAGCACTACATGCTGTTTATCACACACATAAATGGCTTGCACCATGAAAGACTAAAAACTAAGGCCCCTTGTCTCGAGTGAATTTGCTCATACTTGTTTATAAGCCCTTGCAGGCTTTTATAATTGTAAAACTGGTCATGTATTTATTTATTTTTATTCAACAACAACTGTTCCATTTATGAGCAAACAAATTTCACTAAACCTACATAAACCTACATAAATGGAGCGAAATGTGTTGAGTTTACTACCAGCCACCTATATACCAAATTTCATTAAATATGTTAACCAAGTGAAACAATGTTAACAGTAAAGGGTAAAAGGCCTCAATAAATACAAACTTTCCTCTGGCCAAGCCTAATTTCAAAATTTATGCATTCTGACTCATGTAATCTAAGGCCTAAAATTTCAAATTCCCTCTGACGAAAAATGAGCAATTTCACTTCTATCATATTTGTTGTGTCTAGAGCCCTGTTCCTACAAGTGCTCCATACTTTGACAACACAGAGATCTTGTGTCCAAAATTAGTTTCCACTTAACCATTTAGCCATGTTAGCTAGGCTATCTTGTCAAATGCAGGATGAAAGATGTACTTCAAATTATGAGCCAGAACAAAGAAGGAAACGATGATAAAGATCATGTCTCATAATATTCAAAAATATCCTCTATGATAAACAATGAACAAAGAGTTGCTAGGAAATTGCCACAAATTAGATTGTCATAATATAATATAGTATGTGACACAACATCCAAGTGAGCAAGAGGGAATTTTAATATTAACTGTCGGCAATAGAAAGTATGTTTGATGGTGGTAAAAAGGGAAACAAACAAGAATTGGTTATTTGATGGTGATGTATTGCATACAGGTATCATAGTTGTGTTTTGTAAATTGATGCTCATGATGTCAATCACTGGATTGTCTGGGTCCAAACTTAATTATATACAGACCGCCATCATATACTGGAATATTGCTGAGAGAGGTGTTAAACGACAAATAAACATCTGAATTAGTTGAACTTTGTCAGAAAAAACAGAAGTACTCCACACATGTATAAACACTGGCCACCATGATATACTTGGATACTAATGAAATACACATTTCCTAATGACAAACAAACATTCAATGATGATGTAATTAAAACAATCTAATTTGCAACATGTTACAACATATCCCATGATGTCGCGTGTCAGATATAATGGAATGAAAATACAAGCTGTATTTACATATGTTATCAGCAAACATATCAGTCAGGCATAAGTGTACAACACTACAAGGAATACCAAGCCCATTACAAGTTGTCGACTGGTCTGGAGGGGGATAGCTTGATGTACCCTGTGTGTGAGGCGATGTACCTTGAGTTGGTTTGTCTGTTTGTGTGTTTGTTTGATGTGTAACGCCGCACTCAGCAATATGCCAGCTATATGATGACTGTCTGTAAATAATTGAGTCTGAACCAGACAATCCAGTGAATGACATTATGAGCATCGATCTACACAATTAGAATATGAAGACGTGCATCAACCAAGTTACCGAGCCTAACAACTATATCCCGTTAGTCACCTCTTATGACAAGCAAGGGTTCCTGCAGACCAATTCTAACCAGGATTTTCACAGGTATCTTCAGTTGGTAGTACGTGTATCAAAAATGCACGACTACCAAACTATTTCACCTACGTCTTGACAGCTAGCAGATGTAATCGCATTCAGAGTTAATGCCCTTGCATTCCGGGGTAAGTTTGTGAAATTTGACAGGTTTTCAGTTTTGTGATAACAATCATATCATTGTATTCGCATTGATTTGAAGTTCGTTAGCTAGGATTTTGAAATTTGTACCTCATTTGTCCCCATTCATTAACCAATCAGAAGAGAGTACCGGTACCAGTATCTTACTGCAAGATAAGATAATGATGAACTATATACACCAGTAATACACCCATATAAATCTTTGGCCATGATAAATTAGTGTTCACCTGGAGTTTAAAGTCAAACAAATAGTGTCACAGCATTGTAGCTCACCTGGATATGTAGACCGCAGTTTAAAATATCAACAAAGATGAACAGTTTAAAGTTGCTGTCAGCACTGATATTCAAACATTCAAATACTCAGGTCTAAAAACTAACACTATTTTTTTTTATTTAACAAATTCAGGAGTCATCATTGGTGAGAAGAAGCATGTGAAGTTTCAGCTTCATCGCTCCAGTGGATTCTAAGGCAATGATGTTTACAGAAAGAGAATGTACTTGGAGACTTCAAGGGCATGCTCAAAATGTATAGGTCAAATCAAGGTCAAAATGAACAACATTGAGATAAACGGAGCATATGTGTTGAGTCTTACTTCCAACCACAAACATACCAAATTTCATCACAGTCTGAGGAAAATGGCTGAGTAATAGCCATATATGGGATTTTAAACATGGCTGTCATGAAGGCCATAGGAAACTTAGAGTTGAATCTCTTGGACAAATGTAGGTGTCATCATTGGTGGGAGCAAACCTTTGAAGTTTCAACTTCAGTGGTCCAGGGGATTGTGAGGAGATGATTGTTACAGTGTAAAGAAATGCATTTTTTGATAATTCAAAGGGATGCTCATCATGGTCAAAGTTCAAAGGTCATATCAAAGCTAAGCACTAGTTTATTTAACATTTCTACATTCTCAGGAAAAAAACACCTAGTCATCATGTCTAACCTTGTATCAAAAAAACTTTAACGTAGTTAGTAACAAGATGATGTAACTGTGGTCATGGTAGTCATATTAATAACATGCAAGTAAAACTTGAAACGCACCAGATCATCAAAAGGCAATAATAATATTTACAGGCCTCTGTCACACGTACAAAATAGTTAACAAAAATAGTTTTTTCCTAAACAACGCAAGAACAAGCCGGGGTATAATAGTACCCTTGTATTGTGACAGCTGTTTAAACTGGCACTCGTCTCACAGCCTCAACCAAAGAGTTTCGACAGGACTAGTGGGATAGCAAAGATTTCTACGATACATATATGGACTTGTGGTCGGAGTTTGTACTTCTGCTGAGGCAGATGGTGGGGTGGGCTAGTAATTAATGCATTTGCTCACCACACCGAAGATCTGGGTTTGATTCTATCCATGGATACAATATGACCACATTCTTAGCTCCACATGATATTACTGGCATATTGCCAACAGGGTCTCTAAACAGTACTCACTCACGTCTGTAACAATCATTGAGTGAGACACACATTGTTCCAACATGATAATGATCAGTATGTCATTTTTTTCGGTCCAGCTCCATTTAGTCTGACCCAGAACGGTTCTGCTGATCACAATATTTCGTAGGTTCTGTCACAACACAGCCAGGCTCTATGATACAAACACTGAGTGCTTCACATGTTCAATCATTAAAGGCTCAACTTCAAAAATCAGGTCAGTGCTTTCAACCGCTGACAAATGTGTTAGGAATGTACCGTTGCACATACCAGCTGGTGGTCAACTCATTGCTGAAGCTTATTAATTCTGCGCTCTCTCATATCATCTTATTTTAGCTAAAAACTTGTAATTCTCAATGATATGCAGTTGATATATTGATAACAGTCCAGGATTGTCCCTGTACAACGACTAGGGCTGGGACGAGTCCAAATTTACCACCCGGGTACCCACCCCACTAATACCCCACCCTACCCAGGTACCCACTGTTGGTCTCAAGAAATAGGTTCAAATGTCCGATTGGGAATAGTTTGACCGTAGCCATGGCAATAGGTATTTAGATACTCGTATGAAACGATCTGGTCATGCATACACTGAAGTTGACTGGACTTTTATGTCTATTCAAACTTATAAAGTCAGATGGAATGCATGCATAGTCAGAAAGAAATGCGAACATTAGTCACTTATAGTGTAACCGTGAAAGTTCTAGATGATTTTTGCCATCAAACAATATATCACGTGACTAACCACAGGTCCGGGTAGTCCTGTGGGTACCCAGATCCTACTCAGGAACCACCTGACCCGAGTACCCGAGTTACCCGTCCTAGCCCTAACATCGACCTCATATTTGTTTGTTCTTGTTTAACAAGCACACAGCAATATTCAAGCTATAACCAGACAATCCAGTTATTGACATCATAAACATCAAATTACGCAATTGGGACACAATGACATTCATCAACCAAGTACGCAAACCTGATCCTGTTAGTCACCTCTTACAACAAGCGTAGGTTGCGGAACCTTGATTATGGGTTGCTGAGGAACAATTCTAACCCAGAACTGACCAGCACCGACCTCATGCATCAGTACATGAAGATCCGGGGTAGAACAGGTCTTCAGCAACCCACACTTGCTGTAAAAGGGGACCGTGCTTGTCGTAAGAGGCGACTAACGGGATCAGGAGGTCAAGCTCGCTGACTTGGTTGATACATGTCATCGTATCCCAAATGTATGGATCGATGCTCATGTTGTCAATCACTAGATTGTCTGGTCCAGACTTGATTATTTACAGACGGCTGTCATATAGCTGGAATATTGCTGAGTGTGGCGTTAAACAACAAACACAAAAACGAACACAATACTTTAGTCATGATATACATGTTTCCTAATGCTTAATTTGAGGTGTTGATGCAATGCTAATCAGTGTGGGTCACGCTCAAATGACAGGTTAATTCTTATGTATAGTATCCATGGTATCATCAGGGTTAAATTTGATATTGATCAGTGAATTGTGACATCCCCTGAGTTCAATCTGCTAACTGGCCACTAGGCTGAGACCCAAACTTTATATAGTTCAATCAATGTTAAGATTGAAAACTATGCAGAAGGACAAGTTTGGTCCATTAGACTCAAAATAACAAAATTTTGCAAGAATCTGCAAGTTTTATGTTTCACATATGTAGGACTCTGACCCGTGGCGGATTCTCAGATCTATGGCAGATTCCACAAATAGGGCAGATATCGGCGCATACTCAGATCTATGGTAGATTAAACATATGGAGCAGATATTATACTTAGATCTATGACAGATTATCATATAATATTAATAAATGTCAATTTCTATAGCGTTAAACGTCATATAGATTCATATATAGCGGCAGGCTTTTGATGATCAATGTTGTGACATCTCTGGATTATTTTTTGTCGTTTCCCCTTTGGATCAGCATCTTGGGTGCAGGGATCGCAAATCGGTACTTTTCTTAAAAAACGTTCCCCTAAGCCTCATCATAGAAATATTTTTTTAAGACCATCTTCTCATTTGCTAGACTTGATAAAATCCTGAATATGTTCAGGCTTCCAGGATTCAAAGCCTTTAAATGAGGAACTTCTTGGATTTCTAAAATATCATTTGAAAGGGAAGGGGCTTTAGGGGCTTTCAGTACTGGTTTCTTTTTCCGCTGGCATGAATCCACCTAGATCTGAGATTCCGCCAGATCTGAGTCCTACATTATGTACATATATATCATAGCCATGCCACAACATCTATACATCTGTATAGTGTAATCAGAAGGGGAACTAGACACTTCGAAATAAAATATCAGGTACAAAATTCTAACCTGCCATTTGTCTACCTGATACCTCTTTAACTACTTTTGTCATAAGCCTGGGGTACTAGGCCTTCCCTTTGAAAAACTAGTAAGTTGTCTCCTGTAAGCTATATCCGTACTATTTCTTGTTGCATATGTCCTCTTTGTCATATGCAGATTAGATTTCTAATTTCATCAGAATATCACAAAAATGTATCCTGTTAGAATTTCCACATACGGTTTGATGCTGGTTTTTATCTGGGCATGTTGGATATGACATGTGATACAACATATCAAGCTAGAATATATAAAGTCTTACTATTATTTTTGATAATTAAATATTAACATTATTATATATAGTTCCATATATTTAGGTTCAAAGCTTCATTTAAGTGTCCAGAAAATATCATGAGTAACTCCAAGAACCTTGTATTCATTTAGAATATTGTTATTATCAAAGAAGCTGACAATGAATTTCACTGTAAGCTAAAACAAGACCTACATTGTTGCACACATGAGTATAATAGCTCTATTTAATGGTAACAAATTGAGATGTGTTACTTTCACCTCCATAACTTGCAGAAAAGTAAAATCAGATTGATTTAATTTTCTTAATCATGTTAATAAACTTCATTTTGACCATGTTGACAACTGATAAAGTGTTCAACTTTGATTTGCCTGTAATGTTTTCCGAAAATGGTGAAAATAATGCAAAAAATTACAAGAAATTGAAATAAAAACAACAACCATCCACCAGTAAACTAATATAGACATCATGGAAAATATAGAAGAGGAAGCAGGATATGTTATGTAGATGCAACATTCACTTTGTGTTGTGCAAAAACTTTTTTTCACTAAGACTTATACATAATTCGAGTGAAAACACAATCTAAGCGATTTTCGTTATGTCTTATAAAACAATGAATTATTGTTCTACTATCGATCCATAAGAATATACGGCTACATTTAACCAAAGTATGTTACCCTAGCCTTTAGTTACATTAAAATATAGACGAGTATATGCATCTTGTGAAAACACCGAGATTGCCACCGACTGTGGGATTTTGGTTATGTCTGCCTGGAAACACGAATTATGACAAAATGTCCTTGTGTCGTTCGCTGTCACAGTCGCCATCCCGCGGCTCTCGTAATCAATGCTACAGAGACGCTATATGTTGCAAATAAATACGTTTTAGCATGCACGAGTGGTGGTCGGGCATGAATGCATGAATCCACTACCCCCAAAGAAATTCGTGAGGAACATGGAGAAAATTCTACGCTGCCATGTTTTTCGTCAGAATCTGCATCAGCAACCGAAACATTTCCGCTTCTAATTTATAAAAGATAACACAATATACGATAGAATAAAGCAAATATTCTTAAAGAGAAAATAAGTACCTGATGCCGCAGAGGCCATTGTGAGGAACCACGGGAATCTGTCGTTCCAAACAAAATATTTGGCCCTATCTCTTGGTTTCCTCCATTTTTCTGGTAAACCTACAAATATCGCATTTTCATCCGGGGCTTTCTGATCGGTACCATTCTTTGGTTTTCAGACTTTTTCAAAACCCCGGTCAATATACACCATAAAATCCATCCAAAATATGAGGTGTGTACGGAAATATCGGCAAAAATACAGAATTTTTGCATATGTTGTCAATTAAAATTGAAATTCTTGCAAAAATATTTATGTAGAATATTTTATCGTAAAAATATAATAGAACTATAAATGGGTCAATAAATATAGATTTGAGTTTCTATAATTTGAGGGATTATATTACATCTGACAATCGATTTTATTTCTGCAAATAAAATAATGTTTATGTGGCAAGCAAAAAACGGCCTTCGCCTTCAGCCCGGAACTGTTTTCAGCGCGCACCTGTACTGAGACTGAAAACATGGCGGAAAGTCGAATGAACCTAGCGACTCTGCAGCAGCGAGATCCATATATTACTGAAATAGCAGACACTGCGTCGCAAGTTGCGTTATATTCGTTTAGTTCTAAGAGTAATGAATGGGTAGGTATACTTGTCAGTGATATCAATGGGTTTTTAATAATGCATTTTGCCGATTCCGTTTTCTGTCTGGAATCGTTCGTTGTTTACAACTAATTCGCGTCGTCTGCCAAAGGCGAAATGCAAACTCCCGCCTTACTCCTACACCGCTATCAGAACAAAATAAGGCCATGGCCATTTCATTTCATCCCTGACCTTGGCATTTGCGTCGTAAAGCAAAACGGTTCCAAATAAATATATGTTGATGTAAAAGTAGTTCCCAATGATGTCATTTTCAATTTGTTTCATCATGGCTGAAGTAATATCGGGTAATAGCGACTAGGGATGTATGAAAACTGAAACTGTGTCAGTTGCATGGTTGCTTTTCATTGATGACACAAAACCCTGAGAGTTTCTAGGAATATAATTTACAAATGAAGAAAATCATCATTATACTAATCAGTTTCAACATACTTATTTCACCTAATTAAAAGAGCGTGCAACCTTTACAAAGTTTTGATAATAGTATGACAGAATATGACTTTGAAAGTTGAAAATATGTGTCAGATAATTCCAAGTTGATTGTGGTTTCTTTATTTGGAGTGAGAAAATAATGTTGTAAAGTGAGAAAATACGATGTTGCAAATATTAATTAATCAACAGGACATTTTGTGATTTCAGCCCACAAATGTTTTGGAAATATGACTGCATGCAGGATAGGCCCCCGTGCAATGTGATACACAACTCTCATAATAAATATGCATTAAATAATGATAGATTATGCGTCTGCAGATAAAAAGTTAAACATCTCAAAGAGAGGAGGCTTCATTTTGAGGTATCTATGTCTCTTAAAAATTAATTTATGTTGGTGTGAAATAGAGACACTTGAGAAAGTAACTAGTTATTTCTCTATTTCACTATACAGGTTAATTAAGTCTTGTTTGAATTACTGGATGTGACATCCCATGTCATAGTTAAAATTGTTACCAATGCTTAATGAAGAGAAGGAAGTAAATATTGGCTTTAAGTTTGATGTGGTGTCACTTTTCATAGAGCAATCTCATAACATATAGTTTGTCAAAGATAGTTGTATTTTTCCTTTATATCTAAGAGTAAAATCTTCTGTAAATACTTTGATCATGTCTTTGATTTGCATTTAGAAGTGGGAAGAACATGGATACATGACACATTTTGATGAATAACAACTTCTTTATTCTTGTAATGACGTTTCAGACTACTTCTTGCCCCTTGAATAGGTGAATCGGATCATGCTTGCGGCCAAGTCTGGGATTTTTATCCTGAGATCTTTTAAATGTTTTCATCTTTGACTTCTACATCGAAATTCTAGTTTTCTAGTTTTACCCTGTACTTTTCAGGGATAATTCTATGATTGATCAATATTAGTTTGCCATAAAACTAAAAGATATACAGAAAATATCAGTTTATTGAGATGGAATCCATACATGTTTATCCACTCAGCCCATAATATTCTATATCTATTATATTAATACTTGCATCAACTAAGCTAGATACTGAAAGACAGGTTTGGCAAAGTTTTGGGCAAGCTTTTAAAAAAAAATTACACATGCCATCCATACAGCTAAAATAGATCCTTAGAATAGTAGGGGCTGCTCAAACTAGTCAAAGGGCTAAGACAGTAAGATTCTTTCTAGGGGCAATATCAAGAGTTAGCAACACATCCTGATTTTTGGTAAATGCCCATACTTTTGATCAGTTCCATTTGACAGGTATATGAAATAATTTATCAACTGTCAGATACGAATGGAACTTCATATAAGATCACAAAAGGTTGATAATTATAGGGTCCTCAATTAACTTATAAAATTGATAAGCTAGATCTGTCTTAATTCCTCCATAACTTTTACCATTGTGCTTGCTATCCAGACTAATAGCTTCAAACTTCTGTTGAAGTGGAACATCTATCACTGTTGTACGAAAAAGAAGCCAGTTTTGAGAACTGTCAGCTGTTAAAGGTACCTGTATTGTGATAGAGTTAGCAAGTGTTATGATTTGTGTCAGGACACAATGATCGCTATGTGATACACATACGCTTTCGGGAACAGGTTAAAGTTATGAGTCATTTTAACTGTTTATCCATAACCTAGTTGTGATGTCTGCTATCAGTTGCCTGAGATTGATGCAGCACACATAGGAAGTTTACAATTGCAATTAATATATGGTTCACTCTAATGATGTGATTGTTATTCTCTCAGACTGGTGTATAGTTTAAGCTTCTGTCAGATTGATAAGAAACACTTAACAGTTCAAAGTCATGACAATGAGTATTATTATGAATAACAGCTTCTTTAATATATTGTATAATTAAGAAATTGTTATCCATAGCAATAATCACAGACATTAAGTGTTCTGCTGAGGCAGCAGCCTAACAGGATTCTCACAATATTTTATCGATTTACTCTCAGTGGGACAAGGGGCGCATTCATGTGGATCTGTTTATTTCATATAATTATGGAAGTCACTTACTGTCATAAAACAGTTTACATCACTTCGCTGCTTCTATTATTGAATGTAAATCTTGTGATTTTTGTTGCCTTATTGGTCTCAATTTACTATCAGCACCTTAGCTGAAAGTAAAAAATAGTCCAATCAGAATCAAGTTTACACAGTTTTGCAAATATAGTAGTCACAGTTCTGATAATGCCAAAGATGTTTCTGCTTCAAATGACCCCGGTATCTCAGAATCACAGACCACAAGTTATGTTAGCAATACACAGAATGTGTTGCATGGCTCACCTGAGAGTGACCATGTTGAAAGACAGAGGAAAGGTAGAAAAGCTGAAAAAGTCAAAATTTTCAGCATACCTGGTTTTGTGACTACACATGGTTGCAGCATAACTCAGAAAGAAATACTACAACATGTCAGCTTTGTATAAATCATGTGAAATTTAATTCAATGACAAAGCTACATTGTAATTTTTAATACGAGTACCTTGAAGAGACAAGCAAACGGCAATGATCACAAACTGTTGAGGCTAAATATATATGACATAGAATGTTGTTGCGGTAATTCATAATATCTGAGAAAGATGCCTGCGAAAATTCTGTCTATCGTTCTATATGATGTCTTAGAGTCAGAGTGTGGTCCAATAAGTTTTGACAATGACCCCTTGTTTATTTTGCTGAAGGGTTCTCCGTCCCCATGTGTTCAGTTTCTTAGCAGTTCACGGGTCATATTTACATCCGACTTCTAATCCAGAAATATCCTCAGGTCTTTGAAATGCATTTAGAAATGATACACAGAAGGAAGAGAATATATGGATGTCAACTTCTATATTATGAGGAACACAACGTTTCGCAGTATATGCTTACTCCTTCATCTGATTAATGATGCCATTTGTCTCCAGCATTGAACAAGTGTGCACTTTAGATAACGTACACATTTCAGTGATTTCATAGAGTCCTTAGAGAGATGATGTGATATCCCTCCTGCTTAGTGTTTTTCATCACAGGCTTATATAACTAGTGGATCCCATATCAGTGCATACCACCAGCTGCTTCATAGATTACTGGCTTCTGGCATAGTGATTATATGGCAGTATTCACATAATGTTTGTACAGGTTGGCTTGCTAAACAGTCAGATTGTTTTATTTACCTCGGTATGTTTGGAGCTCCTTTGCAATTGCATTGATGTCTCGGGTCATTTCAGTTACGTTGCTCTGACATGCACTGTTGTTTTTTTCGTTTTGCCATTTGTTTAGGAGACTAAGTACTTTCATAGTGATAAAAAGCAAGTGTTGCTAAACATTGATCAACAGGAAATAGAACTTGTTTAGTCTAGCTGTAAATCAGGAAGATCTGCAGTGCAGTACATCAGAGCTATATGCTGGTCGATCAATGTTTGAAATTTTTGTCTGTCCCACATTGCCAGTAGTAAGTATTTCAGATGGATTAGTAGTAATTCAAATTTCCTTTCCTATCAATTGGATTATGAATTTCTACTTATCTCACAAACTTAAAAAAAAACAAGTTACATATTTGAATATTTTGAAAACTGTTCAGGGAAGATGATTTGTATTTTCATTAGTCTACAAATATATTCTGCTATTGAGTTGCTATGTACCTAATGGTAAAAGTGGTAGTCCACAAGCATATGCCACTACTAGGTGTTCCTGGAGTTCACTAGTCTCACACTGGCAGACTAATGTCAATTTCGAACTCTGTTTTCAAAGAACTATACAATTATGTTAGCTGGGCACTGCAGTGTTTGAAATTGGCACTAGTCCTGTAGTCCTTGCCAAACTGCCTAATAGTTAAGGTATCATAAGGACTAGTAGTAGTTTGCCATTTTTCAAGGTTTTGCTATATGTTATCATTATTATAAGGATCTGATCTGATGTCAATTCCACAGCAGTTTGTGAATTCATAGAAATTACTAACCATAACAGTACCCACAGAGAACCAACTCCAATGAGAACTGTCTTCGTATTCTGACAATGTTGATCCTTGCACATGCTAACAAAAACTAGAGTGTTCCTTTTCCAGATCTCATTATTAACAGGGAGATGAAATTCTGGAACATTGTTGACTGTCATGATAACAGTATTTCACTCTTATGTTATGAGGGAATTGATGGTTTCTTTGTAATTACTCTGAAATGTCAGGGGATCTGTAGGCAGGTAGGCAGTCTGCGACTTCAGCCACTACTCTGAACCCCTAGTCAAGAAATACATTGTTTGGTTTGGTTTGGTCAGCTAATATAGTCCTTATGTGAACACTAAGACCTACTGAAAGCGATACTCAGAGACACCTTCGGGTTAGAAGACAAGGAGGGGGCATGGGTGGCCCAGTCGTTAAGGTGCCGCGATTCGCTGTGCAGAGTTGCGTCCCTTGGGCACGCCAGACACCTATGATTGTGTGTTTGAATCCTGGTTCGCCGATTGTGTTTCTAGGTTTGTCAGCACCATACACGTGCTCATGGGTTTCACCAAAGTGGTAAAAGTCTGAGACCTGCATCACATCAGGCTTTTCTCCCACATTAAGC